CCCTATGTTGTGGCTGGTTTAGAAACTCAGTTAGCTCCTTTTCCATGTCCTGAGTCTTGATACTCCAAACTCTTTCCATGTTTGAAGTGAAGAGTGAAGCAATCAATGCCTCAAACATTTGACTCTAATGACTCAAAACTATTACTTCTAGATTTTCTGCCTATTGTAAATTCACCCTGAAATGTAACTTATGCTCCTGAAACAAGGAACACTATTGGTGGAATTATGCCATACCACAAATAGAACCAACTATCAGAGTGCTGCGGTATCAAAGAGGGAGAAAACTTTGACAAAAAAATGAAATCTGATGCTTGGTAAACTAATTGAGTTTGAACAGAGCTTGAGCTTGAATAGAGGTAGGCTGTCTGCTTGAGAGGATAAAACTGTTCCCAGAAGGCTTTCATTATTAAATGAAAATCATAGTGGCAGGGGTTGGCTGTCTTCCTACAAGTTGTTGGTCATGGAGGTCCCTGATCTCCTCAAAACAACATAGGCTATTACCACTGTTGTTGGTTGCCCATACAACTAGGTAGTAAGACTCTGTTGCTGAAGATCCCACATACTGTGGTCACGGGACATAGAGAAATCAGGCTAGGACTGAATTGGAAACCTCCTCTCTGCTGCACAGCCTCCATCATGCCAAAAGGTGATATGCTGGCTACTAGGTAAATTGTCATCAACAGTCTTCCTCAACTCTAGATCCATCATGAAACACCACCAAATGGCTAGACAAGATGTTCCTTCTGGAGCAGTAATAGCAAATCTGTTATGGGGTAACAAAGCACTTTCTGATTGAACTTGAGGCCTACTACATAAGAGGAAGTGCAGTCTGATACTATAAATGTCAAAAGCCTGTGGCTGAAAATGGAATAGACTACCATGTGAAAACTACTGCTGTTTACTTATTTATTTGTTTATGTATTTATTGACTAAATGAACATGATGTATAGGCCAAATTGCATTCTAAATAATTGTGTTTATTCTTTTTTTTTTTTGGTGCTGCTGTCATCTTTGGGCATAGAAGCTTCGTTTTTTAGTAATCAATGGTAACTGTAGAGATGTATAAGTGAGCAAAGTGCTGAGAATAGCTGCTGAACTTTCAGTCAAAACAACTCAGAGACTATCACAGAAGAAGAACAGAAGAACTTACAAACTGGAGGGAAGCAGGGGGTGGGGTAGATGGGGAAGAATGCTGGTTTCTCAGCATGACCTAGCTGCTGCACTCTTGAACTCATGGCACAAGTGATTACCTACACAATATGGGGTGTGTCAACATCCTGTTATGGGGGGGGGGCGAAATGGGCTCAGAGTCCCCACCACAACTGAGAATTTGTAAGTAGATAATGGTTGACTGGTTGATGATAAAGGGAAAGATTTTTTCTTCAATGGTATAGTAGGTGGCCATGTTCCCGTAAAGAAACCTTCTCCTATGCTCTGTAAATGGGCTTAGTGATAAAGTCAAGGGATCACACACAAAAAAGTCATACAAGTAGAAGGGAGGCTAGTGGATAAGAGGAGGGGAGCGAGTGGGAGGATGGGGGCCTCAAAAGAGGGTAATGAACAATGAATATGATCAAAATACATTATCTACATGTGTGAAAATGTCATACTGAACCCCATTATTATACATAATTAATATGTGCTAATAGAAAAGTTACAGAAAACATTTCTAACTTTTTAAAAGTATGATCTCACTGAAATAATTTTAGGAATCATGTTATATTGTAGAGATATTTTTTAAACATCTTCTTAGTGTCATACCTTCAAGAGATGAGACCATACAGGTTATTTCACCAAACTCCAAGAACAGCACTGCCACATTTAGTTTTTGAGAATTGTAAAAATAATCTCAAGGACACCCCCCATCAATTGAGCAATAAAGGAAAGGCTAAGTCTTTTTTACAAAAACACAGTGTGATCTGACATTGCCTGTAAGTCACCACTGTGGGTTCTACCATCCGTTGTGGTCATGGCGCATGCCCAAGGAAGGTGGCATCCCTTGGGTGAGCATAGACCTTCAGATCTGGACCAAACATGTCAGAATGAAATGTGAGGAGAGTGGATGCTGTTAACCCTGCAGGAAAAGCCGATTTAAGCAGAGAAAAATGGGGGAAGCAGTGAAAAGCATGGTAGCAGGACAGAGTGTGCAGAGCCCACCGTCCCAGAGTCACTGTGAGCATGAATGAAGCTGGCCTTCAGACACTGATCCTGGGAACCTAGGAACCCTCCTTTGCCAAAAACCTACTGCTGCCCTTGTGTGACAAATAAAATGCCACAGGAAAATGTTGTCTCTTTTCTATTTTCAAATCATAAATAACCCTTGTTTCCTGGAAAAGATTGTCTAGACAGAGCTATTACCCCTTGAACAAGCCACGGACCTCATCTTTTAGAACCTTACTTGAAGATGTAAGAAATTTCCAGCCACTCTGACTTTTAGAGCCTGAGGTTGAAAACTGTCAGGCATGATCAATGGATACCTGCTCTCCCCGGTCAGACCCCCTAAGCATGAGGCGGCTGCAGCTATTAAAGACACCAGTTCTCATTGTGATAAAACACTTCTCACCAAGCCACGGGAAGGAAAATTATAGTAATCAATATGGATCAAAATGAGGCCATAAAGAGCCATAGAAAGACTAAGTACTATATAAACTCTCTTATTATAGAAGGCCAAAAATGGGATTTCAACATTGCTGAATGGCCATGGGGGGAGGTCTGGAGAAAGGTTGTTCAGTGACTACTGAAGATACAGGTAGCTATGGCAATAGGATAATTATCAACCTTTTTTTCCCAAAAAACACAGTTTATTCATCCACATAATTTGCTAAAAGTTAGAATGTCATCTATTTAGGGAGTTTTATTACATTTTAGGTTAGCATACAAAGTAATAAGTTTCCTTCCTTCTTCCCCCAACACTATCCTTTTATTTCATGCAGAAATAGTTATCGACCTTTAAAGATTAATTTTCAGTGAGTTTTGTCTGTATTTTTGTTAGTTCACTACATGCATGCAGTACTCATGAGACTAGAAGAAGGCATCAGATCGCTAGACCTGGAGTTGCAGACACTTGTGAGCCACCATGTGGGTTCTAGGAAGTGAACCTAGATCCTCTGCAAGGGCAGCCAGTGCTCTTAACCACTGTGTTGTCTCTCCACCCAATAACTATCAATATTGATGATATACATGATATTGATTTTAAAATTCTAGAAATAGGAGTTTCATTATTTTCAGCATGAATGACAAAATTGAGGAAAATATGTAAATGATGCTTTTGTCACTTAAGTCATGATACAGATGACAACATACACATGTCTCAAAATATCACAGGATACCCCCAAGTGTGTGTAATTTTATACTTCTACATGTCAGTTAAAAATTGCTTTCAACAACAACAAAAGGAATCCTGTTTATCAAGCTTGATCAAGCTTGTTAAGGATAACACTGTGAAATTTGCCAGAGAGCAGATTAAAAATCTAGAGTAGTTTATGAACCAAGCTTCCTAGCTAAAAAAAATAGTCAGAATAAGCACACATGCACACACACATACGCACATACATACATACATACATACATACATACATACATACATACATACACACAGAGACACACATGCACACACAAACACACACAAAGGAGAATGTTCTCTCCTCTCTCTCTCTCTCTCTCTCTCTCTCTCTCTCTCTCTTTCTCTCTCTCTCTCTCTCTCTCTCTCTCTCACACACACACACACACACACACACACACCAAAAGATACCCTGGAAACAATGAACTTGTTACTTTATGTGAAAAGGGGAAATCTGAAGGTGAGTTTATAGCAATGATCTTGAGATCAGGAGCTTCCCCTGGTTTATTCAGGTAGGTTAAATGCAATCACAAGTTCTTTTACAAGACAGGTGAGAAAGTCAGAGTCAGTGGAGCAATGGAATAAGGTGAGTTCTGGAAAGGAGGCAACTCCTAAGTGCTGGAAAAAAATAAGGAATGAGTTCTATCCTGGACTTTCCAAAGAAAGCTTCTCCTGCAGAAACTTATTTTGAATTTCCAACTTCTAGAACTTGGTGAAGGTATAGATTTGTACTAAGCCGTGCTGTTTTATGGCAGTTTGTTGTTGCAGCAGTAAGAAACTAATACAGTGGACAACACTTGACCTTAATTTCTTTTCTATTTTTCTCATTTACTATTTCCCACATCAAATAAGATAATGTAGTGACAATTTTTAATAACCTTTTTATTTTTCTCTTTTGGGGGAACTCTGCGAAATGTTTATTTATTCCAGTGAGATGTTATACATAACTGCCTCTTTGCATCTCTAGATAAAAATAGAATGAATATATTTTCTAAAGAAGGAGGAATTACTTAAGATACCGTGAGGCTGGAGATGTAGCTTGGTTGATAGAGTGCTTGTGTATCATGCAGAAAGACCCAGTTCAGTTCCCAGCACTGCATAAACCAGCTAGGCCTGCATGCTCCCATAATCCCAGTACTGACGAGGCGGCAGCAGGAATGTCAAGCATTTCAAGATCATCCTGGGCTACATAGGGAGTTTAGGACCATTCTGGGCTACATGAGACCTGTTTGAAAAGCAAAGCAAAACCCAGACACCATGCTGGGTATTTTGTGTAGATGCCATCTCCCCAAATGACCCTGCCTCTAATTCTCAGTCAAGGGCACTGATGATAAGAAGTTGCACTACTCATCTGAACTGGCTACCAAAGCTGGGTCATGAGACCCAAACTTCCAACTCCTCCCACTGAGACTATGTTGCTGCTAAAGCACTCACACAAAGCAGTAAAATGCCATCAGTAGACAGTCAGCCAAGATTTGGAAGAAATGGTCATTTAGGAGCCAGGCTTCATGCCCTGGAAGGATAAAGGTGAAGGGACAATTTGACTTATAAAATCTTTTTGAAGGTGTCATCATGGACTCTCCCAATTGCTTCTTCTCTGGGGAAAAACACAACTGAAAGTGCATGTCACCAGTCTGATTTCTTTCAAATCTCCTTATAGGGGTATTTGCATTTGGACTTTTTGCTACTGACATTTTTGTAAACGCCGGGCAAGTGGTCACTGGTCACCTAACACCATACTTCCTGACAGTATGCCAGCCAAACTATACTAGTACAGACTGCCGGGCACACCACCAGTTCATCACCAATGGCAACATCTGCACTGGGGACCTAGAAGTCATAGAACAGGCTCGGAGGTCCTTCCCCTCCAAACACGCTGCTCTGAGCATTTACTCTGCCTTATATGCCACGGTGAGTATGTGACTCTTACTGTCTCTCTGAGTTGGGATTTTGCTGGGATGTGTCTCTCACCCTTTCCACCAACATTCTGTCATCCCAGTCACACAGTGATTTTTTTTAAAAGTCACATAAAATACGTTTCTCTCACACCACTTCACACCTTTGACAAAATAACCTCCCTCCTGAATCCCTCCTAATCCTAACTGCCCTGAAAGCTTGGTTTGAAAAGAAATTTGATAATCCCCCACTTACACCCTCCCAGTTTACAGGTGGGAAACTAAGGCCTCATGAATATCTAAGAACACACAACCAGAGGTGTGGCCTAGCTCTTGGGATTTTCTCACCACCGTCACAGTTTTAGTTGGTTCCATAACAGCATACCTTCCTCTTGGCTAGGTTTTCAAGTGTGGACCTCAGTGTGTGGCTGACTTTACAGTGTGTATCCCAGGATTCAACATATGTGTCCTGTGCTTCATGCAACATGTTTGAATGCTTTGTTAAGAGTTGGATAATTCTAGAATTTAAGACCTCAAATGTCACTTCCCACTTCTCCCCAGATCATACCACCTTTGATTGTCTAGGGCATTATAACCTAGCAATATATAATTTATTTTTAATTATCAATAATAGTTATTTTAATTATCAATAATAGTTATTATTATTACAATTGTTAATGTTATTGTAGTTAATAAATAAATAAATAATTATTTTCCTCTCTTTAGAGGAAAAGCAATAGTGTTTCCTTACTTTTGCACATTTTAACTAAAGTCCATGTTGGAAATGTCATTCGGCACTTTTCTTTAACCTAGCTTCCTTTGGACTCAGAACTCAGAAGCACGACTGCCGGCTTGGTCGTACACACACAAGCCAATACCACAGGTCACTGGTGCATTTTACCAGTGGAAGTAGCCATTGGTCAGAGTCTCAGTGGAGCATGGAGAAGAAAGAAAGAGCTGTCTCCTTTCAAACCACCCAGATATTCTGGGATATCCTCATCTTACTCCCTCAGCCTCCATCTGCAAGGGGCAGCATCCCATCCTCCACTCAACCACTGTGGGAGGCACATTTTGCCTCTATGCAGCTGAGTCTAGCCCTATCTTCACCTGGGCCTCACCTGCAAATGTATAGGCAGACATGAGACTAGTGTGCTGTTCTGGAGCCACACTATAATTCTGCACCACCCTGCAGTTTCTCAAACTGTTACATGAATACTCTCCTCCTTGCGGCTTGGAGCAAGTAATGCTGCTGAGTCTTTACCACAGATCACCTCTGGTGTCCATGAGCATCCTGCCTAGACATCCAAAGTTTCCTAATTAATCCTCTGGGATCTTCTCTGTAATGACTACATGACAAAATAAATCCAGCTACCCCCCAGGTTAAGGACATACAAATGCAGAGAATACAAATCAGTTGTCATCTGGTTAGACTTATTCTTTTCTTTACAAAACAAAGAGGGAAAATAGGCCAGGGATCCTCTGGGGTATTTAGTGTGTTTTCTGATTTTCATAATATTCAATTGTTCCGGAACTATCTAGAGCATAATCTGTATAAAGTCATGTGCTTTTTGCCCTCAACTTTTGTATTTTTATCAGGCTCAATTCACTACTGTGTGAAATTACTTTAGATAACACCATTATACAAATAAATCAGTAACTTAAATCAGTGTGTCATCATCAAATGAGACCCAAACCTCAGTGGCAGCAGAAAAAATTAAATATAGTGGATGCACGTAGCATGCAATGCAGGCATCATCTGAAGATTTGGATAGCAACCCATTCAAATCAGGCCTCACACTGAATTAGATAAACCTGGACACAACATTCCAACTGAGTAAATAGTTTCTGTTGTGTGTTAAATTAAGCTTTCAGGATTACGCTAAACTGATGGATATGCTAATTGCCAGAACTTGATCATTCTGTGGTGCAGAGAAGTTTTGAAACACTACACAGCACACATAAATGTCTGCAATTATTATGTGTCAAATAAGAAGAAAACTCTAATGAAAACATTATTCAGCTGTTGCTTCCTAGTTTCCAGTTAATACGGTAAAGAATATCAACCAGGGGTTCTATATTCTTAATAGTTAATATTTTTACAGGAAAGACTCATAAAAGACATACCTAGAAAACAATATAGAAGCATAAAAAAATCAAATTGAACATATGTATTTGCATTCAGCATTTTAAGAAACAATTCCCATAGTGTGAGAATACTACATTATGTTATAATCTGTGTGACCTTGGTCACCTGCTAACTAGGATAGAGAGGCTCCTTTATCCCACCAGGATTCATACTAGTATTGAAGCATCGTCATAAAAATTACCTTCCCATGTAATATTGCCAGATACACCCATGTGAATGTATTTGTGCTCAGGATACCAAATATTCGATAGGTTATGGTCTTAAATGTCAGCCTTTCCTTGTGCCTTTTTAGGGTTACTGAACTCACCACATTTGATAAGAAATGATGAGACAAGTCTGTAGTCCCCAAACCCACATGGGAGGGAGAGGCAGGAGGATTGTAGTGAGTTTAAAGTCAGACTGGGTTACATAGCAGTCCATCCAAAAGGAAAAAGGAGAAATGGTGAGTCACTAGTGCCCTCTGCTGGTATGTTGTAGTAATTATGAAAGTAATGTGATTTTCTGGAAGCAGGTTTCTTAATTGTAGACCTTGTGGGAGGGGCCGGGCAGTGATCACAACATCTACAATAACATTTGATAATAATAGCCCACATTTCAAGCTTCAGTGAACACATCTTTTATTTGATTCAGAGCATTCACTCTCGTATATTGTGGTACACAGAAAAGTTTAGTGTTTTAAAACACTCTGAAGTAGACAAATGGATAGAGCAGAGCACAGTTGTCCCTGGTGTGAGAATCAACTTCCAGCACAACAGTGACCTGTAGTCAGGATTGGGCCATTCAAATTAGGTCCATCAGTCAGTTTGTGAGCAATTTTTTATCATACTCCAAAAAGTAAAAGGTAAAGTCTCTCATCTACCTGATATCCTCTGCCACAAACTCATTCAAATAAAAGGTTTAATTGGTACCTAAGATTTTTATGTGTTTTAATAGCACCACACAATTCTATGTTTCTTCACATAAAAACTGTGTGTTCTGAACCCAGCCATTATCCTTCAGTTACTCCTTCTGTCAATATAGCCTCTGTTCACAAACTCATTACGATGCAAAAGTGATTAAGAACACATGCTCATTGTCATTGATTCACTGTTTCCTCACTAACTAACTAGCTTAATGAAGTTGTCCAAAGAGATGTAGTTGCCATGGTTCCCTTTGTCAAAGCCTCTGTTCCCGACCTGGGACATGAGTGCATTCATGCGGATGCACCAGCATAAGGACTGCCTGAAACTCACTGGTCTGTCTCTCACTGCAGATGTACATCACAAGCACAATCAAGACAAAGAGCAGTCGACTGGCCAAGCCAGTGCTGTGTTTGGGGACCCTCTGTACAGCCTTCCTGACAGGCCTCAACCGGGTCTCAGAGTACCGGAACCACTGTTCGGATGTGATTGCTGGATTCATCCTGGGCACTGCAGTGGCACTGTTCCTGGTATGCTGGCCTCTTTCTCTCCACGTCATCCCTTTTATGTTCTCTGCATAAAGTCACAGTGCACTGAGTTTCCCAGATTCCAGTCTGAGTCATTGTTCCTCAGGTCACTGTCCAGAGAATATGCATGCTATTTCTGCAAGAACAGAGACTGGGCACCTTACTTCAAGAAATATGACTAGCCATGTTTCTTGAGAGAGTCAAGGAGAATACTATCCCCAAGAAGGCTATGTTTTGTCTTCAAGCTTTCAGCTTGGTAACATAGTGTGTCTCAAACTAAGTGTTTGAATATTTACAGTCAGTGTCCAGGGCTCAGGAGCTACATGTTTCTAGGCAATGCACAAAGGATGAAGACCACTAGTGGATCAGGCTCTCTCCTACAGCACTGCAAAACAAAACAAAAACAAAAACAAAAAAAAGCTGCATCTGGACCCAAGAACTGTCTTAGTATACATGTACATACCATTTCAGAAGTATAGAAACCCTATAGTTAATCATTTGCCTTTTAGAGGCCTGTTGGCATCTTATTTTAACTAAGTGGCATCTATATTTGACACCCTGAAGAATTTAGGCAAACACAGCTGCCTCCATATCTTTGAAGTTCTGATGATTTTTTAGTTCTTCAAAGAGATGGTGACATGGCTACATGCTCTTCTGGAAAAATCCCTTAATCTGACTAGGACTGGAAAAGAAGAATCTGTGCTCATTTTTATCTTGTTCTAATCCAGTTTCATTGAAGTGTGGCAGAAACAGGGTGGTACACACTGTCCAATGTGATAAACTTTACATCTCTCTTGTTTTTTCTTTCCCCTTTACCTCAGGCAACCATTGGGGTTTAATTTGTTTTTCTACATTTGGATTTCACGTAAATGAAGTGATATAATAGGTATTTTCTGACTTTTTACTTCCATTATAGTTTATATTTGGAGACATATTCATGTTGTGGAATGTAACGATAACTCATTTCTTTTTATTGCTCTATAGTGTTATATTTCCTGGACATACCAGAGAGATACGGTTTTGTTCTTTGGTTGTTTTAACAGTAGGTCACCAGGCATATAAACTCACATGTCCTGCATAAAATAAAGCCATTGTCAGTAGCAAGACACTACCCAAAGAGATGAGGTCACTAAAATCTTCAAGGACCTGCCACCCATTCTACTCTGTCCTTGATAGTCCAAGCCCTTTTAAGACTCGCAACACACATATACTCATATATTTATATTCATATATTCTTATGACTTAACTCTTTTTTCCCTTTCTGCTCTCAATGCAAAAAAAAAAAAAAAAATACATGCATGACTATCCCAGCCTCTACCTCTACATTTTACCTGAAAATGCTCACACTTTTCTATGGAACATTATCAGAAGCTATTGTCACTCAACATTCCCTCCATCAGCTCCCAGCTTTCTTTTTATAATGGAAGAGGGGGGATTGGAGGGCAAATTCTCTGGGTAAAGTCACAGAGAAAGCACTGGAATGTTCCCATGATCTGGAGTCTCATTAAAGAGACTCCCTGGGAAAGACTTTTGAAAGAAAACAAGAATTACAGGTGACTTCAAGAGAATGGAGTGTTTTTCAAGGGAGCTCACTGATACATGAATAAAGACAGGCTCAGAAGAAAAGTCAAGCAGTCTTGACATCCAACGCCACTAGAGAGCACTATGAAATGGCCATGAAGACTGCCCACATAGCTGCTTGGAGTCTTTGAGAAATGATGTCCGTAAAGCCTGTGGGTGGCTGGGATGCCATGTACAGATTCTGCTTTAAGATTAGACTTGTTTCCTGTTAGTCATTTGCAGTTTCTTGCCTACCCCTCGGTTACTATTTAGTCTGTTATTGCTTCCAGTGGTTTAACCGTTATTGACAATTTTGCTTTCATCTGATGGTTTTTACTTAAAAATCCAAATTTGCCATTGAATTGCTGTCTGCCTTGCATGCACATACCCACACCTCAGAGACACACATCAAGCTGGGAACAGGGAGGAAGGTGAACTCAGAGGGAGAATGGAAGAAACCAGAACAGAGATCTGGAGAGGAGACACAGGAAGAGACAAAAAACAACAGTGTCAGTATAATCTTTGCTATAGGTGTCTGTTTCCCATGAGGAATAACATGGGGAATGAGGAAGGAAAATGTTGGTTGAGCAATTACTACATGTCCTACAGTAAAAATACCTCAAATTGTGAGTTCCTAGGGCACCCCTAGCAATATTTTCTCTTCATTTTATTGTTTAGGAAATTGAGCCTCAAAATACATAAGGCTCTGACACCTTAGCCTTCAACCATTTCCTAAATGGCCAAAATTTTAAGCATAGCTGTAGTTGAGGTGGAGAAGAGACAGATAAAAATGTCTGTGTAAATGTTCTCTACGGTTTGAAAAATTACAGGACAGAAAACACTACATATATAAACAGAGATGTGGAATAACAAGAGAAATTATGGAAATTGGAAGACAAATTCAATACAGGCAGAGAAGATGATAAAAACTTATGACACAGATAGGAAATAAGAAAAGCAGACAATCATTTATAGGCAAAGTTTTCAATAGAGATAGATAGATAGATAGATAGATAGATAGATAGATAGATACATACATACATACATACATACATACATACATACATACATACATATTGCTTGTCAGTTGTGTTTTGGTTTGGTTTGGTTTTTGGTTTTTTGAGACAGGGTTTCTCCTATTGCTTTGGAGTCTGTCCTGAAACTCGCTCTGTAGACCAGGCTGGCCTTGAACTCAGAGATCCGCCTGCCTCTGCCTCCCAAGTTCTGGGATTAAAGTCATGAGTCATCAATGCCCAGCTGCTAGTCAGTTGTTTAAGTCAAGTAAATTTGGCTATGATCATTTTAGGCAGAAGTTAAACATCAGCCAATATGGGCTGAGTGTTGTGCCTGAATCACAAGGATCCCCAAAGAGACCAGGGAGACAGACCACCGATGCAAATGCACGAGGTTTATTAATTGTTCTATCCTACCTCAGGAGGGACCCCACAAACTGACACAGCAGCCTCCAGAAGGGGTGACGTTCTCTGTCTATTGCTAGGTCTTTAAAGACAAAAGTCACAGGATTACATCAACAGGTATGGGTTGGTTTCTGATTGGTTGACATTTGGGGAACAATCAAGAAATTTTTCAAAGGCATATTTTTGGCATGAAATACCTGTGTACCAGGTATTCTCATTGGTCAGTGATGAGAGGGAACATTCTGTGGTTTCTATGGCTTTGTTTTGTTACTTGCACGTGGCCTGTTGTATATAGATACCAATAGTTTTTAGAACTGTATCCTGGAGACTATAGGGGAGGTTTTGGTCTCCCCTGGAGTTTCTTTTGTGGCCAAACAGTTCCCAGGAACGAAGTAGTTAGGAGGCTAGTGGGGTCTGGAGTTTCTTTGTGTTCAGTTTGGCCCTAGGCTCCAGGAGGCCAGAGGATCTGGAGTTTCCTTGTCTCAGAGACCTACATGTCTTTTCTGTAGCCTGTCATTGCTGCTAAAGCAGGGGACTGAGTGAGGTTCTGGTCCCTTTATTCCTAGGAATGAAGTCTTTGAGTTTAGTTTACCCCTTTCACTGAGTACTTGCTGAGTTTGGTACTCAAGAGACAAAATAGTAATAGTGACGGGATTTTGAGCAATTTAAACTTTGCCTGTTCAAGCTGAACAATTAGTAGCACCTCACTCCTTACTGTTGGAAATTGTTGGCTGGGTTAACAAAAATGAGACAAAACCCTCAGGACACTACCAAACACATAGCAACCCTCAGGACATGCTTGCTTTGATTATGAGATGGCTTACATTTATCATACTGTCACAAATCTATATGGTAAGTATGCCCATTCCCATTTGACAGCTGAAGAGATGAGCTCTGTGGAGTCGACTGGCTGTCCTCACCCACCTGGTGAATTTGCCTCACCATTACATACAGTGTACTCAGCACACTCTTGGTCTCCCAAAATTCCAACGAAATATATCACCTCCATAACGATATTCAAGGACAGCAGTGTGCCATACTCAAAGATGACCAGACACTGCCCACTGGAGTCTGACCCCAATCTCTGCACCCCCTACCCTGCAGGGAATGTGGTAGTTCATAACTTTCCACTGGAGTCTGACCACAATTTCTGTTCTTCCCCATCTGCAGGGAATGTGTGTGGTTCATAACTTTAAAGGAACGCAGGGCTCTCCTTCTAAACCCAAGCCAGAGGATCCCCGTGGAGTTCCCTTGATGGCTTTTCCAAGGATAGAAAGCCCTCTGGAAACCTTAAGTGCACAGGTACAGTAAAGTGACTTTAGCAAGCAAACCCATGATCTTGGAAGATTGTTTACATAAACCTGAGGAAGTGCTTAGTGTTGTGCAGATTTAGGGTACTTTGGCCTCTAATGTACAATCAACATTCATGAAATTTGAACTATTCATTAGGGAATCCAATTGGACTGACAACTGAGTTGTTTCTTGTGCAATTCCGTTTTCCTTTGGGACAGGGTTGTGAGGGTGTATCCAAACTTCCAGGGCATATGAAAGCCTAAGGTTTGCAAGTTCCTAATATAGTATAGCATGATGTTTGCATGGAAATTGCACAGAAATTCATATATGCATTTATCTCCCCTTCACTTGTCATGCCTACAACAATGCAAACACTGAGTAAATAGCTGTTAAACTGAACTGGTGAGGTGAATACTGACATGGAAACAATGTTGTATATATTCAGGTTCCTAGATACTTAGCATCTGATTTACAAATTCATGGCTGCAGAACCCATGGGTAAATGGAAAGGCAACTGTGTTTAGCAGGACAAAGATTTTGTTCCATCTAGTGACTAGTGACTCAAGCTAGAGGTGTATGATCTGTCTTAACAACAATCACAAATTCAGCATAACAACACTTTCTGGGTAGGTGTTCTACAAAAAGTCCTTTTAGAGGGTTTTGTTCAAAACTGAGTGTTGGTGGTGCATGCCTTTAATCCCAGAGATAGGAATATAATACCCTTTAGTTGTTGTTCATGAAAGAGAAGAAGCAGTCAGTGAGAGTCCTTTTCTCTCACTTTCACAGTACCCTGCAATTAACATTGCTCTGTTTTGGAAAGAGCAATCAAAAATTAACTCTCTCTGGATGTGGCCGAGTCTCCCTGTCTTCTACTCGTGAGGAGAACAGATGGTTTTCTTTAATTCATACAAAAAACAGAAGACATGCCTAAATAACATTACTTAATCAAAGTTAAACACAGATCCATCTAACGCTGAAGGTCCTGTGTGTCCTACTGTAGCATACAGCCTCATCTTTCATTCTAGCAAACTTCCTTTTCTAAAATCTACCTCTCTCAGGCTTGAGTATGAAAATGTGCTTTCTGGGTAAGAGCCTCCTGTACCACACCTGATGCCAGAGTTTACAGTAGAAGCTACTGCTTTGTGATTGGATGAATGGAACCACCTTCCAAGGGAGGAACTGTGGAGATTTCAAAGACCAGAACTGCCCTTTGGAGCACATACTTACACACATGTAATCCATCTGCCATTCAGAGTCTTTCGAGAAACAGCTTCCCCTGGTCCAGAATCAGGCATCTCCTTTGCCTTCCCTAGAACATGTTTCCCTTTGCCTCATGGTGCCCTCCTCCTTAAAACCCATGTTTGATATGTACATTCTACATTTCCCACTGATACTTCTGATTAAGACCAGGTGCGGTATAAAGAAAATAAAATGTAAATCACCATAGAAAATCCAAACAGAAGAGATCATGTTTTCCAACCATCATTGTATGGGCCTATAGGGTTACTAAATGACCCCAAAAGACCAGCCTGGTCTTTCACCCACCCATGCTCTACAACTGAATGCCCATATCACCCTAACAAAGAATCTAAATTAGAAATGAAGCAACTTGTTAACTCTCTCTGGATGTGGCAGAGTCTCCCTGTCTTCTACTTGTAAGGAAAATACATGGTTTTCTTTAATTCATAAAAAAAAAAAACAGAAGACGAATCCAATTGGTAACAAGACTATAGATGCCTAGACCACCACCACTACCTGCCGCCAAGGGATTTTAATTCAGCATGTTCAGAGTGGAAAAAACAGGAAAAAAATGTTTTCAGTGGATTCTGATGCACTTTTGATTCAGAATTAGTACTAACCCAAACTTTATACTATAAAAAGAAAAAAAGTAGTCAAAGTCACCCATCTGATTGTCTTAAGTTACTGAATTATTTCATCCTTATTACTTAATATTGCATAGAATTATATAAACACATAGATTACCCAAGCATTGACAAAACAAAGAAGTAGATTATAAAAGTAAAATCGGAACAGGAATGGTAGATCCCCATTAAGAACTCTTGCTCTTGCAGAGGATGTGGACTTAGTTCCCAGAGCCCATGTGGTGACCTATGACCATCTGTAACTCCAGTTCCAGGGGATCCAACACTCTCTTCTGATCTTTGCAGGCGCTGCATACATTTGGTGTACCAGACATACACACAGGCAAAACACTAAGGCACATAAAAAATAAAAATAGTAAGTCTTTCTTAAGGAAAATTATGGGATTGGAATATTGCTCAGTAACAGGGCACTTGCCTGGCAAGCATAAGAGCCTAGGTTCAACTCTAAGTAATATTAATGAATTAATTAATGTGACATTAACTAAACAAAGTTTTTGTTTTTCATTTTGTAGAAATAAATCCATCCAAGTTCAATTGGCACAACTTGAAAAACACCAAATCCCCAGCTTTTAAAATATATAGTTCGGGGTTTAGAGAGCTGACTCAGCAATTCTTGCAGAGGTCCAGAATTCTGTTCCTGGAACCCAAGTCTGGTAGTCACAATAGCCTGGGCTGGTTATGGGATTATGAGCTAGGAGTATAGTGCAGTAGCTGTGTACTTGCTCCATAACCCTCAAAACTGCAGCTCCAAGCTACTCAATGCCCTTTTCTGACCTCCTGATAAACACAGGTGCATACATACAAACATATGCACATGTACATACATAAAATAAAATAAATCTTTTTTAAAACATACAACTGATCTCCCAAGAGTATGTCTCCAGTGTCTTAAAACAAAGATCCAAACATCCTCAAACAATGAGATGAAAACTACAGTTTCCTTAAGTATTTACCAATCCCATGGGCCTGTAGTTTAGGGTTTTAAGTTTAAACAAAGGATAAGACTTTGGAAACCACATTAGCAAGTTTTGTAAATGAAATGTGACAGAATTACAAGGAAAAATACATACTTCTGAAGTAGTATACTTTTACCACATTTCAGGAACAAGCAAGCAACAGAATATACAGATGTCTGATAATATTCATTTACATTATACAAAAAAATTCTTCAAAACACATAAAATATTTTAATATATAAAATGATCATGTACAAGACCAGAAAGCAAGTCTTAAGAAAATTTAGGGTCAGTGAGATGACTTAGAAGGTAAAAGTACTTGTCATCAAACCTGGTGAACTGAGTTCCTGAGACTTTGATGGTGGAAGGAGAAAACTATCTCCTACAACCTATCCTCTGACCTCCACATATGTGTGGTCCCACATTTGTACACATGGACACATACGTATAAATAAAATTTAATTTAAAAATATGGATAAAGACATTTTAATGGCTCTTCTTCATTATATAGACCACATCCCCTATAGGTTAAAGGAAAACCTAAAGGAAAACCCCTCTATCCACTGGAAAATATTAATTTTAGTTCCACAGAACTCATAACTCAAAGAATAGGTCCTGCAAGTTTAGTTGGTATTCAGTATTCAAAACATTTCAAAGGTATGAAATATAACTGTCACTTTGAAATCTTTAAATACTTACATTAAAACAGTAAGGAAGTGTTTACATGAAGAAATGATTCTACCTTGGTTAGAAATCCTGAAGGAAGAGGTATCAGGAGTTGAGGGGTCTTAAAAGAATGCATTAAGGGGAAATAATTGGTGTATTGCTGTTTTTGTTTAGGTTGCTGTCATTATTTGTTTGAGAGACAACATGGAGTTGGGTGGGTTGAGAGAGGGAAGGATCTGGGGGTAAGGGAAACGATGATGAAAATACATTGTGCAAAAAGTTTAAAATATTAAAAATTAAAAAATAAAGAGACCAGCGAGCTTTAGCCTGAAAGACATTTCAGGAATGATGAGAGTGTGTAGAAATCAGTCAGTCCAGCCCTGAGTGTCTACCTGTTGCTTGCTCTACAGAATCACTCGGCCTCCATGACTGAAGTCACCTGAGATGAATGGAGAGATGCAGCTGTAACTGGTTTCTTTTTTTTTTTCTCAACAACCTTCTAGTTCAATGCTTCAAAACACACAGTGACTCAAGTCAAACTGTGAAGACAAGTATTACATTTATCTAGTTAGAGGCTAATGTTTTGTACATTTTTTGTATTAAAAAGTGATGTAGCTTGCTCTGATCTGTTTTTGTCAGTTTTAATATATTTATGCCAGAATTTTAAAACCAACAAAATTTTGCTCTTGTTCAAGTGTGCATTGAAGAATCACATTTACTCAATGGTTGATGTTGTTTTGTGATATTTGTACACAAATCTTTTCTCAGTTTTATAGACACAAATAAAGTGAATGATCCACTTTAAACCTTTATTATCACAGTTTCTGCCTCCTCCAGAAGCTTTGAATTTTAATGAGAGTTAAACTTTACAGGAAGTTTACAGGAAGGACCATGGTGGTTAATTATAAATTTCAAAATCAATCTTGAGGAAAATATTTGGAATAGAACATCGTGTTCTGTTCTGTTAATAATTTATTGTATTCCAAGTTAAAGTGACAGTGGCATACTAGTGAAGATTTCTAGTTTCCTAAATATTGACACAGAAGCCAATATTTGGGGTGGGGGTTGCTTATATGACTCTTTCTTAGATAATGGCCTTGCCCACCTAAGGAATTCAAGATCGATCTGGAATTCTGTCCTTAGGCAGGCAGGTGAAACTGTAGCCTTCTATCCAAAAGAGCAGTTAGCACCAGCCTTTCCTGCCAACTCAACAGTTTTGTATTCATGTTGTATGGACTTTTTATGAAAAGAATATTTTACAATTTGCACAGTATTATTTTACAGAAGGATATCAGAGCATCTACAATATACAACCCAGAACAACATCTTCACTTGGGGGCTTCTAAATGTTCTTAGATTTTAACTGCATCCCGTTTTCTAGCATGGTGATAATGTGCCCTTCCTTTGAGAGAAGGAGTTCCCTATCTGTATCTATCAAGATGTGTTCTTGACACACTCATGTCAGCTCTTATTAGTTTTTTTGTACATATTTTTTTTTCTAAATAGAAGAAAGAAAAGTTATCACAAAATGTATTCTGACTCATGTCCTTTGTTTGACATTTATTTCACTTGATGGTGTTTGAAGAACCACAGAATGACCCGAAAGTGTTTGTGCTTTTCAATTCATGTGAACGGAGGTTAAGTGAACCCAACTAGGAGCATGACTGAAAGGTCATCAGAGAGGAAAGGGAGGTAGGGACAGAGTGAATGGGAATGGATACGTATGTGTGTGCATGCATATGTGTTTATTTATTAAGATATTCAAATGTACTTCCGAATTCCTAGTGTGGGACCTTAGTCTTCAGCTTGCTCTGGAACTTCTGAGTTTTCAATAAACACTTAATCTTCTTTTAGGAACAAAAGGTACCTCTGCTAAAACTTTCCTTGGCCCTATTTGTCCTCAAATGTTTACCTAAATTCTCTTACATGCATTCAGATACATCTTCTAAGAAGTGCCTAACTAAAGTTGGAGAAAAGAGCAAGTAGTTAGCCACTATTCACCCCTAATGCTAAACTACCTGCCCCCACATATATAATGCAATCTGTTGTTTGCAGTGCAAGGAACCCAGGGAAGATATATAAAGTTAAAACACTGTGATGATATCTATATATCAGTTCCAACATTGTGGTCCAGCTCTGTCTAGTTCTTATTTCTATTCTTCCTGTTACATAAAGATTCCTCTAAATCAAGTTAAGCCTTTTTTGGTATGATATGTCTACTTAGAGGCTCATGAATGCTACAGAGGAATGGAAACCCTGAGAGAGGATCGTTTGCAAACTCTGAACTCTCTCCTCTCCTATGCACTAAAGGTAATGTTTATCTAAACACATGGGATTTTTGAAGAAATAAAATAAAGTCATCTATTTTATTTTATTTTTTCCTAAAACATCAAAAAATGGTGGTAGGCTAAAGCTGGGCAGTGGGTGGCACACACCTTTAATCCCAGCACTGTGAGTTTGAGGTTAGCCTGGTCTACAGAGCGAGTTCCAGGACAAGCTCCAAAGCTACACAGAGAAACCCCGTCTTGAAAAAAAAGGTGGTAGGCAAAATTGATTGTTTATTACCCATTTCATGTCACACTGAAATGCTATTCACCAAACTGTATTTGGAAAAAAAATCAGTTCAACAAAATGGCTCACACTAAATTTGCATGCTTCTTTTCAGTTTGATTCTGGGAAGATTACCTGTTATTTCAAAATCTGTGGCTACAGACTTTGGTTTCATAGTGCAGGAGTTGTAGAGTATTATAAGACAAGCTATGTGCTATGGCATACTACTGTACATCAGTCAGAACTAAGGGCCCCAGGGCCCCATTTAGTCTGACCCCTTTGCATGGTTCCATGATGACTTCAGTAGTGTCTCTACTTACACTTAAGCTACTTTAACTGAATCACATTGATTGTTGTCCTCCATCTAGAATTTGAGATTCTATTCTCAGGTTTGGACTTCTCTACTTGTATTTGCTGCCAAGGACAAAGCTCTCTGTCCATACCGGGCAAGTAGTGACAATAGGATAAGAGAAACATGAATTCTGTGGTGAGTTTTTCTTCATCGTTTTATTGATGTCAAAAAATGCCTGAGAAAGTCAGGCTCACTGTAGAAGAAGACTGAAAAGAAACAAGACTAATAAAGTGCTTTGATGTTGTGCAACAATGAACCTCTTAATCTCATGGACATTCACACTTTGATGGCATGCCCATTGCAGAACTTGGTGCAGAGAACATTTTGTTAAAGTCTACCCAACAAATACATGTCAGACTTTTCCCCAACTTGGTCAAAGAGAGAATGTAGTTTATTTGGAATGAAGAGAACCTTTAATAGTGCCTAAAATAGCTTTTAAAATGCCATGGTTAGATAAAGAAATAATGATGGCAAAGAATCTGCCCTAAGCAGGAATGACCTGTGAATGTTCCATTGGTAAAGATGTTTTCATGAGGCTGTGATGGACAGGAAGGCTTGGTAGCTCCAGTATTTGCAGAACACAAATATCCTTAATCTTCACTTGAAAGAAGAGGGTGAGTACCATTGGAATGAATTAGTAAGAGCTATAATTGATACTTATGCTTTGAAAAATTGAGTTTATTCCCAATAACTACCAACTGCAACAAGTGGAATCTTAAAGGCAGACACATAATAGAACCAATTGTCTAAGTTTATTTCAAGGACTGGTTTCCACTAATGCTGCAATAGTAAAGATGTTCAAAAAGATTTAAAAAAAACATTAAGGTTATATTAACAAATTTGGCCTTACTCCTTTACAAGGTATTTCCCGAGAATCTAGAAAATAAAACTATTTGTTTACAGTAAATGCATCCTAACTTCCCCTGCAGCCCTAGAGACCTTGGGCTTTATCTCATTATCTTCAATTACACCCAGTACATATGGGGAACTACCCCATGAGCTCATTCATGGAAAAAGTTTTCTCAGTAGACCCTTGAGAAGTAACTTCAGGAGCCACCAATGCTAGCATATACAGCTACTATACAGACAATGTAACTCTCTTTGGGAAGTCCACACCCATAATCTTTTGTTTTGTTTTGTTTTTGAAGGATTTGGAAGCTGTGCTGGAACTCGCTCTAGGCTGGCCTCAAACTCACAGAGATTCAGCTGCCTCTGCCTCTCAAGTGCTGGGATTAAGACATATCTTAAATATGTCTTACTTTCTTTCCAAGGTACTTCTCTTTCTACTAACCTGTTCTAAAATTGGTTTAAATGTCTTCTAAAAGCTGATGAGATGGAACAGTGGACAATGGGGCTTGCTGTCAAGCCAGATGATCTGAGTTCAATTCTGGGAACTCACATGGATAAGGAGAGAATTGATTCCCAAGGGGACACCGCCATACATGTCTATCTGCAATTGTAAACACACACACACACACACACACACACACACACACACACACACACACACACGATTTTTAATACCCCTCAGCTCTTCTTCACACTGGCTTCACCCTGAAATCCTTTCCTGCGGCAAAGACAGTCATCTGTTTTCACTTCAGTGGAGTTTCTTAAAAGATAAAGGAAGTCCTCAGTGTACTTCCTGTGATCCGGTCATTGTATGGATTAACAAGAGAATTAGACCATGAGAGCCAAAAAAGCAAAACTTTATTCAAGATCTCTAGGTGAGCAGAGTACCAACTGCCAGGGTATCCCCAAGAGAAAGGAAATCAGCCATGCAAAAAGGAGTCTTGAGGTTTGTTTTTTTTTTTTTTTTTTTTTTTTTTTTTGGTTTTTTTTTTTTTTTTTTTTTTTTTTTTTTTTTGGATGCTTTTAGTCAATGGAGTGTGGTGGGAGAGACTTGAGGAGGAAAAGGGAACTTTAACAGTCAAAAGGTATCGCAGTAAGAAACATTTTATGAGGGTAGGGGGTCACTCTGGCCATTAGGACAGCAGGACGCTGTGATCAAGCTGTTCTGCTGAAACCAGGGATCAGCAGAGTTATGAGAGCTGTAGAATGATCAGTTTCCATTTTCCTGAAGGGTCAAGGTTCCACATCTTGATATCTTGGTGACTCCATCTTGGGCCAAAGATCTGGGCCAGCTGACAATACTATTCTTGCCCTAGTGACATCAGCATGTATACAAAACTATTCTGCTACTTACTGTCACTCCCTGTTACTCCATGACTATGTTGTAATGAATACCAAAATGTTTAACGACATCCTACTTCTTGATCCAGAAATGGAGGAAAGGGCAAACAAAAATTAGAAGAAATCAATGAATACCTTAAAGAAAGCCAAGAAAAACAATAAAACAAATGAAGGAAATAGTCCAAGACTTGAAAATTGAAATAGAGGCAATAAAGAAAAAGAATTAAGGAAATAGAAAATCTGGGTAAATAAGCAGGAACTACAGTTGTAAGCATAACCAACAGAATGCAATAGATGAAAGACAGACTCTCAGGTGGTGAAGATAATGATAGAGGAAATAGATTCATTGGT